GGAAATCTTTAAAGGCCAACAGAAAGCCACAAAAAACGTTATAAAGAAAAATAAGATAGATCATGAGAGTAAACTAGTTCAGAATATATAAACAGGCAGCAAAAGTTTCTATAAATATGTAAATCGTAAAAGAGTGGCAAAGGTAAACATTGGTCCTTTAGAGGATGAGAAGGCCAATTTAATAACTGGGAATGAGGAAATAGCCGAGGCATTACCCGAAGGTTGCAGGAACAGCAACTCATATTCCGCTTGGGAACCCTGCAGCCCAATGGTATCCATCCTGGGCCTCCTGCAGTGCCACAACGATGCCACCCAAAGGTTGCAGGAACAGCAACTCATATTCCGCTTGGGAACCCTGCAGCCCAATGGTATCAATGTGGATTTCACAAGTTTCAAAATCTCCCCTCCCGCTACCGCATCCCAAAACCAGTCCAGCTCGTCCCTGCCTCCCTAACCTGTTCTTCCTCCCACCTATCCCCTCCTCCCACCTCAAGCCGCACCTCCATCTCCTACCGACCAACCTCATCCCGCCCCCTTGACCTGTGCGTCCTCCCTGGACTGACCTATCCCCTTCCTAACTCCCTACCTACACTCACCTTTACTGGCTCCATCCCCGCCTCTTCAAACTGTTTGTTTCCTCTCCACCTATCCTCTCCTCTATCCCTCTTCTATCCGCCTCCCACTCTCTCCCTATTTATTTCAAAACCCCCTTCCCCTCCCCCTTTTCTGATGAAGGGTCTAGGCCCGAAACGTCAGCCTCTCTGCTCCTATGATGCTGCTTGGCCTGCTGTGTTCATCCAGCCCTGCACCTTGTTGTCTAGAATTAATAGCACGCAGCAATGTTCGGTACGTTTTGAGGGAAAGGGAATGCACTCGATTGGAAGTTGAATTTGCCAAAATTTAACCTGGGTGCAGGTCCGGGTCCGGGTGGGAACATTGAGGGGAGGGGCCGGGACGGGGTGGAGCCGACGAAGAGGCGGGGCCGACAAGGGGGCGGGGCCAGAAGGGGAAGCGACGGGGGCAGTAAGGGAGCGTGGACGTGGGCGGAGCCAGAAGGGGAAGCGGTTCTGTTTGGTTGGGGGGAGAGGACAAGCGAGGGGGCGTGGCTAGTAGGGGCGGGGCGGTGTCGGTGAGGGCACGTGGGCGGGGCCGACAAGGGCCCGCGGAGCCTCAGAACCGCAGGCGATACCGGAAGCGGACTTCGTGGCTGGGCTGCATGATGCCGAAGCCCCAGCGCTTGCGGTCGATCGGCGGGACCGCGTCCTCGGGCTGCAGCAGCTCCATGTCGAAGTAGATGAGCATGAGGAAGATGAACTGCTTGAGCTCGTTCACGGCGAAGAAGCGGCCGGGACACATGCTGACTCCCGCTCCCCACGGCATCGAGTAGTACTTGAGGCGGTGGCCGCCCTTGTAGAAGTCGGTCTTGCGGAGGCCGCCGGGCTGCAGGAAGCGGTCGTAGCGGAACTCGGAGGGCTCCGGGTGGATCTCCGGGTCTATCTGCAGGGATAAGTAAGGGAAGAGGGCGAGGCGGTCTCCCCGCCTCAGGTGGTATTCGCGGCCGTCGTGCAGCTGGAGCGCCATGTCATGCAGCACGGCCCGGATCAGCACGGGAGCGGTGGTCAGCCTCAGGCTCTCCTCCACGGCGCTGTCGAGCACCGGGCACTGCTGCAGCATGCGCGTGGTCAGGCGGACAGGAGGTTTGCCGGGCCCGGCCTCTTGGCCGCTCTCCCGCAGCATGTTGTCGGCCTCGGCCCGCACGGCCTGCAGGGCGTCGGGACGCCGGGCCAGGTGGAGGAGCAGCCAGAAGGCGGCCGGCCCGGTGTTACCCTGCGACGCCCACAGCATCAGGAACATGTAGCGGTTCTGCATGTCGGTCTTCACGCCTTGCTCATCCAACTGGCGCCGGCGCTCCGCCACCCAGCTGCTGATGTTCTCCCGGTACCGCAGCTTGTCGACGGACAGCGCCTCCCAGAAGTACCGCTTGAGCCTCTCGGCCTCCAGCTTCTGCCTCGGGAGCAGCATGGCGTAGGCCAGGCGCGGAAAGAGGCGGTCGTAGCGCCGGAACTCATTGAAGAGGGTCTCGGAGCCCTGGCGGTCCAGGAGCCGGCCTGTGCTCTTGTCACCACCGGGGTCCTGCTCGTTACCGAACAGCGAGAGGTAGCCGGCTCGAAAGACGATGTTGTAGCAGAAGTGGAAGAGTCCGTCCTCCCTCCACTCTCCCTTGTGTAGCCCTTCCAGCATCAGGTTCTGCAGGTTCAGCATCATGGACTCGGTCAACTCCTCCAGGCCATCTCCCATCAGGTACTTGTGGCTGATCACCTCCAGCAGCTGGTGGTCGTCGACCCGGGCGTGGTAGCCGAACACCCGCGCCACCAGCTCGACGGCGAACTTCTGGAAGTCCAGCTTTCCCCGGGACGCCTTCACCACCGCGCCGTACGAGTGCGGCTCCATCAGGAAGGTCACATAGTCGCCGGCCAGCTGCACCGTGAAGATGTCGCCGTGCTTGCTCTGCATCCGCCGCAGGAACTCCGCCGTGTCCTCCCTGAACGACAGGACGTGGCCCAGCCAAGGCAGCCATCCCCGGTCCAAGGGGGGCTCGTGCGGCCGCCGCCTTCTGAAAGCGCCCGCCCAGTACAGCAGGGTGAGCAACAGGGCGCCCAGGCTCAGCAGAACCGGCAGCAAGATAACCATGTTCCCGGGCTGTCGCTGTGTCTCCGCTCCTTTGCTTGTCTACAGCTCAATCTTGGCAATGTATTCCACTCCAAGCCAGTCGCCTTTTACTCGCTGACCCTGGCAGCCAACTGCTGTGGGAGGGGTTGCACTGCTTTAATATTAACTACAGCATTTACCAGTTCAAATTCTTTCGTACAAACAAAAAGCACACAGAACTGCAAATGTTGGAAATGCAGAAACAAAATCAGAATGTGCAGGAGAAAACCACAGCCGGTGTGACAGCATCTGAGGGTAGAAAGCAGAGTTAATATTGCAGATCCAGTGACCCTTCTTCAGAACTAGCTATCCAGTTCTCAGTTACATATGAGTACAGGATCTCAGAACTCAGTTCTGAAGTAGGGTCCCTGGACTCAAAACTTTAACTCTGCTTTTTCTCCACAGATTATCCAGCCCCTGCTGAGTTTTCGCAGCAACTTCTGTTCATGACCAATAAGTACATTACATTTCACAATCAGAGGCCATCTGTGGGGGAGGCATTCTATTCCACCACATGACTATCCTTGAAGGGCAGGCCTTCCCTAACCCCATACTTGAAGGAAGCTTAAATAAAAGCAAAATGCTGAGAATCTGAAACAAACATAAGAGAGTGCTGGAGAAACTCACTGGCTCTGGCAGCATCCGGAGAACAAAACAACAGATAATGTTTCAAGTCCAAAGTAACTTCTTCAGTTCAGGCACCTGTAAGTTTACTGTACTTACGGTTTTTAGTGTCCAATAAAGCTGAGTAGAATTGTGAGTTCAGGTTGTGGATCCTACGAAGAATAAAAAACAGGAGAGGTCCTTTGCAGGTCTGGGAGAGGGAGGCTCTGAGTTGGGGTAGGCTTGATTGTAGTGTCTGGAGATGCCGGCGCATTGCTGCAAGTGTGTGTTTCAGGAGTCGCAGGGAGAAATGCTTCTGAAGGATCTCAATGCCACTCTCTCTGGGACTCCCTTGTCCGCTCCAGACTCCCCTCCAGCCCCACCACCCCTGGCACTTTTCCCTGCAACCGCAGGAAGTGCTACACCTGCCCCCTACACCTCCCCCCTCACCCCCATCCCAGGCCCCAAGAAGACCTTCCACATCAAGCAGATGTTCACCTGCACATCTGCTAATGTGGTATACTGTATCCGCTGTTCCAGATGTGGCCGCCTCTACATCAGGGAAATCCCCCTACCGCATCCCAAAACCAGCCCAGCTCATCCCTTTCTCCCACCTATCCCCTCCTCCCACCTCAAGCCCCACCCCCATCTCCTACCTACTAGCCTCATCCTGCCCCCTTGACCCGTCCGTCCTCCCTGGACTGACCTATCCCCTCCCTAACTCCCCACCTACACTCACCTTTACTGGCTCCATCCTCACCTATTTGACCTGTCTGTCTCCTCTCCACCTATCTCCTCCTTTATCCATCTCCGATCCACCTCCCCCTCTCTCCCTATTTATTTCAGAATCCCCTTCCCCTCCCTCATTTCTGAAGAAGGGTCTAGGTCTGAAACGTCAGCTTTCCTGCTCCTCTGATGCTGCTTGGCCTGCTGTGTTCATCCAGCTCTACACCTTGTTATCTTAGTGGATTATTTGAAATCTTTGACTAAGGCTACAGTGCGTGACTTGGAGAAATTGCAGTTGGTATTGTACAGTAACATTTAGAATTAAAAGGAGTGAACCTTGAAATTGATGTCACTGCTAGAATCAGCTAAGAGTCAGTAAGAAGTGAGGGGAAAAAACTTCAAATGTAAGAACTTTGGACAACAGAATTGCAAAGGGGAAGTCGGGGGAATAAAAGGGAAAAAGAAGGAATTAGAAAGAGATGAGGAAACCAAAAGAAGAACAATCTTCAATTCGAAACAAAGGGGAAATCGGGCAACGTGATTCGGGTCGAGAGAAGCTCACAGTTTGTCCAAGATGGCGGAGTAGGCCACTCCAGCCAGAGCTCCTTCGCTCTGTCTGTTTTAATTCTCCGTTCCTTCTCTCTTTCTCCCCGTTCCTGACCCCTTCCCCTTTTGTTTTGGTATTTCCCCCACCTTGGTGTTTCTTAACCTTCTCCTGCCCAGGTATGTTCCTGAGGCACGGGGGGGAAGATCGGAGAGGCGACAGTATCTACGGCAATGGCGTCAAGAACAGGCAATTGAGGTCTCTTGGAGAGTAAGCTGAGAGGACTCGTCAAAGACTGTTGAACTTTTTAAATTTATTCCTTTTAAAGTCTTTATTTTCCTAGTTTAAATTAATAATGTTAACCATTGCCTTATTTTTCTACTTATTCTACGAAGTCATGCTTATGACTTTGTACCTGAGTTAAAAAGATAAGAGAAACAAAGTTTTTGCACCTTGGTATCTTAAGATGGTTCCTTCTGGGGTGAGATTATAGACTTTTCACTATACTCCTAGACATGTGTATGTGTAACAGTAAAATCTAAAGGAAAACAAAGAAATTATGGCTTGGGGCATAATTCTGATTCCATTAAGGGATTTTATTTAACTAAATATGTGTTTAGTGCCTGACCTTAAAAACAGCAATGTAGAAGTGGCTAAAAAATGTTTTGGACTTTATTGTTCCATAAATTCTGATAGATACACTTATGAATGTGTATACTAGTTTGTCAGAAGAACATTCTGCAGACTGTGAAACTATTAAAAAAACAACAACAACATATATAAGCTTGTCCCTGAAGCTTACCAATTATTATTCAAGGCTACAAGAATGAAATCAAATCAGACATTTATAGAATCTGCAGTAAATAGAGATGCTGTGAGATCATAGAATCCCTACAGTGTGAAAGCAAGCCATTCGGCCCATCAACTCCATACCAACCTGCCGAAGGGCATTCGACCCAGATCCATCCTCTACCCTATCCCTGTAACCCTGCATTTCCCATGGTTTACCCACCTAGCCTGTACATCCGTGGATGCTATGGGCAATTTGGCATAGTCCAAAGACATGTAGGTTAGTGGCTTGGCTGTGGAAGGAAATCCTTGCAGAAATGGAGACAATGTGTAAAACTCCACACAGGCAGCTGCCCAAGTGTGGAATTGAACCTTGGTCCCTGACACTGAGGCAGCAGTGCTAACCACTGTGCTGCCCAATCAGTGGTTTCGATCGATGAAGTTTGAAAGAGAATTGTAAATATGGAAGAATTCTGAAATAGTATCTGGTCATCCTCCAAACTTACTCATATGAGCATCAAGTATCAATGACCTGAGAAGTGGCAGTTCTGGCAAACCTATGACATTAGTTACATGTGGGGCAATAGTCATATAAGAATTGTAATAATCATCTCTATAGTTTTACTACTGTACAGATTGCAATGTGGAGGAAAATAAACTTTAATAAAAAGACCAGTTGAATGCCTCATCTATATCAGGGTTTAAACAAAAATCTGTGTCAACCAGGTTTCTTAATAAACACAATTCTGGATTTATTATCAAAACAAAACTTATTCAAAGATGCAATGATTGGTTAACATACTAGGTCAATATATAGAAGTATTAATATTCCAAAACACACAGACTCTCCCTCTCTCCAGAAAAAGAGAAACAATTGTAGAGATTGTATTTCTGGAAAAAGCCAGTTCAGCCAATAGGTCACTCTTAAAGACAAAAGGATAAAGTATAGGGTGTACCAGAGTCTGTTGCTGTGATGTTTGTCATGTGTGGTCATTTCACTAATCGTGCATGGTTGCCTAAGGTTTTCAAATAGATTTTTGTTTGCTCAGGAAATAATCTTTGGACATTCTTTCAATAGAACATAGTACCTTACAGGAACGGACCCTATGGCCCACCATGTCTCTGCCAACCATGATGCCATTCTAACTGAATCTTACCTGTCTGCAGATGTTCCGTATTCCTCTGTTCCCTGCCTGTTCACGTGTCTATCTAAAAGTCTCTTAATTGTTATTTATGTATCTGCTGTACCGCCTTCCCTGGCAGTATGTTCCAGATACCTACCACCCTCTGTGCAAGAAAAAACTTGCCTTGCGCATTTCCCTTAAACTTTTCCCCTCTCATCTGAAACCTGCGTTCTCTACTATTTGACATTTCCACCCTGGGGAAAATGACTGATTATCCACCCGATCCCTGCCTTTCACAACTTCATACACTTATTATCAGGTTGCACCTCAGCCTCCAATGCTTTAGTGAAAAAAATCCAAATTTGTTCAACCTCTCCTTATAGCTAAAACACTCCAATCTGGGCAACATCCTGGTAATCCTCTTTTGCACCCTCCCCAAAGCCATAAGACCAGAAGATATCGGAGCAGAATTAGGCCCTGCTCTGCTCTGCCGTTTGATCACGGTTGATATGTTTCTCAAACTCATTCTTCTGCCATCTCCCTGTATCGCTTGATTCCCATAACAATCAAAAACCTATCTACCTCTGACTTAAATATACTCAATGACTTAGCATTGACAGCCCTCTGCGGAAATAAGTTCCACAGATTAACCACTCATTGGCTGAAGAAATTCCTTAGTTCTAAAATGTCATCCCACTCTGAGGCTGTGTCGTCAGGTCCTAGTCTCACCTACCTGTGGAAGCAAGGTTTAAGCTTCTAGCTTAAACAACATAATAACGCATATAAGGCTCTCACTGTCTTCTATCCATTCGGGACTTTGACAATGGTAGCACTTGGAACTCTATCTCAGATTCCATGATATGGGTCTCACGAATGCCAGCTGATGGTGAAAAGTCTGATGACTGGAACAAAGTTTCTGATATTAATACTATTCTGAATCTAAGATTACATGCTCAATCTCCATTTCGTAATGACTGCTATACTTTTCCAACCTCCAAAACAGGCTGAGAATCAAATCCAGGTGGCCCCATGTAACTGCAAAACAGAATAGTTCCCATAGGCAATTCAGTGTCATGCGGTTGCCTCTCAGTCAAATTATGCTGTTTTTGTATTAAGCCTGCTTTTCCATGTACTTTACTTACCTTCAATTGCTCATTGCCATCAGCAGTTATCCCTTAATGGTCTGGATTTTAAGCCCAACATGACAAACTCCTGCAGAGATGTCCTGTAGCTGAGATGACTGACCTCTAACAAACACAACAATTTTCCTATTTGCCAGCTGTGACTTCAACCAATGGAGAGTTTGCCTCCTGATACCCATTGATTCCAGTTTTGCTAGGGGTCCTCGATGCCACACTTGGTCGAATGCAGCCTTGATATCAAGGGCTGTCACTCCCACCTCACG